CAATCCCAGGCATCTCCAGCCAACCAGGCCTTTGGCCTAGAGGAGCAGCACTTACAAGAGGGGATCAATGCCTCAGCAAAGAAAGAAGAAACAGCTTCATGTTCGATTTTGCTCTCTCCATCACTCCTTGCTCTCTCCATCACTCAAGCAGTGTCCCCTGGGTGCTGCAGGAAGTGAGGACGAAGCTGAGATCGTGATATCTCCTATCAGCTTAGCTGTCATTGCATTTTGAGGGCGTGCAGAGCCATACACCTGTGCCAGGGTATTAAAGGCCACCAGGACCACTGACCTGCCATGCCATAACTTGTCATGAAGCTTTCCAGATGTTGAGGTTTCCCTATGCCATGTTGGAGTGTGGGCAGGTAAAGCAGAAATGGATGTGGAGGGCTGTGCTGAGGCCCAACTCTGAAGGTAGCAAGGCAAGGGGAAGGCATCTAGATGACTTCTAGGGCTGATGTGGCAATACAGATATATGTAGGATTGCTGAAAGGCCACCATGCATCACCTTCTGAGTGGGCTATCATGGAGAAAGGGAGTCCATGGCATGGTAGAGTGGCTGTAGAACATACAGAAGGTATGACCAGGGCTGGGTGAAGGTGGGAAACCAGCTCTCAAGGCACAATCCTCAGGGTTGTGAGGGCCCTGTGGACCCTGCTGGTCTGGACGGGGTGAGTTCAACAGTCAAGTAACTTGAAGGCAAGAGGATATAGTGGAGAGGATAAAGGGCAAAAAGCAATGATGTGTCAAGGGCGTGGGGCAGCCTGGATGGCTCACAACTTAGGAGAGCATTTGGTAAGCACAGAGTGCAACAGACATGCAAAGAGTGATTGGGTTAATGGGAACAGATGATCCCAAATCTTACAAACCACTGTAGCTAGAAGTAAGCGTGTGGAGCACCAGCCCTGGGGAGCTGTGAGGAGATGTCATCCATCGGAATGAGAATTCCCTTGGACCAGGCTGAGCAAACTTAGCACGGTGGAAGCCCCTTATGAAAGAGATGGGGATGCAGTCAGCATCCTTCAGGTGTCCCGGGCCAGTTCAGTGCTCTACAGCAGCTTTATCTTAAACGTTACATGCAGTGGAAACCTGGGGGGAAGTTTGCACAGTCTCCTTTAAATAAAGGATATAAAGATAAGTTTCTCTTTCAAGTGAAGTTTTAAAACGAGCTCCCACAGGACTCTGCTCTTTGTGTCAGAGGAATGGATTAAAATAAGAGAAATGTGGGCCTTAAAAGTTGTACTTGCTCCCAACTGAAACCCGTCAGTCTTACTACGCATCCAAATAAGGAGTCTCCTAAGCATATGCTATGCTTACAAATGCATTTCTAAAATAGAAAGTGTATGATTTGAATATATGTCAGAATTTATACAGAAGAATGTTATTTAAAATGAATAAAAATAAATGTATATAATTTGTATCTCTGCCACTTGGATTTTTGCATTTGTTTTTTTGTTGT